AAAAAAGGAAGGGGTGGGGAACGGGGATGGCAGAAGCAGCAATGGGATAGCTGCCCACACGTGTCTCATGGAAACAACCCTGACGCACATAGCACGGCATGCGCCACAGGGTTCAACCAGCGGATAAGCCAAAATGAGATTGAGACGGGAGGACAAGGCACAACTCCAATAGAGTAGGGGCACACATATCACGGAGATTCGTAGAGGAGGGGAAATTAAGCCAGACCGACCACAACAGCTTATGTTTATCATAGGTGTCATTAGTAAATGCCAGCATTTCCTCCATACGCATGGTATCATTAAGCATGAAAACCCACATCGGGAGAAGGGGGGGGGGGGTCAGCTGATTTCCAAAAGAGAGGTATTAATTGGCGGGCTGCAGACAGGAAGAAACGCAACAAACATTTCCTCTGTGATGCCCGTGAGAAGGGGTCAAGGACTCCCTGTAGATCTCGTTATACACAGCAAAGACCTGCCGCCAAAAGGGTTGTATTCAATCACACTACCACCAAATGGGGAGTTGTGTACCAACAGCTCTATCACAGCTCCAACAAAGATCAGGTGTAGAAGGAAAAATTTTGTGTAGAGAGAGGGGATCCCTGTACCATCGGGAAAGAAGCTTAAAATTCTTTTCATGTGAGTAGCAAGAAATAAATGATTTATGGGTGAAGTAGAACAATGTGGACCATTCCTCCTCTGACACCTCCCTACTTAGGTCCCGAGCCCAAGCCTTAGTGCAGGAAGGGAGTTCAGAGTAAAGAGCATTATGGAGCACTTTATAGAGAGAGCCAAGGACATGTCTCGGCAGTTCAGGGAGGGAGCACAGCCATTCAATCTTAGAAAATGGACGGTGGATGTTAGAGGAAGAGTATAAGTGCTTGCAAAATAAGGATAGGTGTAGAGTGGTCAACCAATCCCTAGACCCACTTTGAAGGAGCGGAAGCAAATAAAGTCCCGAGCTACGGGCCAAGAGGCACGTGTAAAGGATCCAATAATAGAGGAGCCCAACCCTTGGGGAAGAGTGGGGTTATCAAATAGGGATGACAAAGAAGAGGGATTGGAAGACAAGAGAGCAACCATGCCACATTTATACCACAGCCGCAGCACAGCTAAAGTCAAGGGAGACAGGGCAGAAAAACACTGACAGTCCCGATCGTAACCCCATGGTAATGCCTGAAGATCCACCTGAGAAAGATCTTGTTCAATCATACAAGAGGCTTTATGAAAAGGTCTAGGGAAACAATCAAGCATCCGGGCCAGCAACACAGCTCTGTAATAGAGCTCAAAGTCCGGCAAACCCACTCCGCCCTTAAGTTTTGGGTAAGTAAGTAACCTGTGCTTTAACCTAGAGAACCCACAGTGCCAAATAAATTGAATCAAAAGGGAGCGTAAAGAGAGGAAAAAACTCTTAGGGATAGTGATCGGTACCATCTGAAAAATGTATAAAAGCTTAGGTAAGGTATCAATCTTGAGGGTGTTGATACGGCCGAACCAGGGAAGGGCTGAAGAGCCCCATGTAGCTAAATCTTTTCGAATACGTGAAAGTAAGGGAAAATAATTAAGGGAATATAAAGCATTAAGATCAGCCGAAATCAGGACCCCCAGGTATGTGATGGCCTTAGGTCGCCATTGAAAGGAAAAATTAGGCTGAAGGTTCGCCAGTACATGGGCAGGTAGAGAAACATTGAGGGCCTCCGTTTTAGAGACATTACGTTTAAAATTACTGAAGGAACCAAATCTACGGAATTCATAGAAAAGACTGGGGAGGGAAACAAGTGGTTGTTGAACGTAAACTAGTAGGGCATCGGCGTATAAGGATAATTTGTGGTACGCGGAGGGCATAAGTATGCCCAGTATAGAGTCATTAGCTTGTATGGCTTGCGCAAGATGTTCCATTACTAAAACAAAAAAAAGAGACGAGAGGGGACATCCTTGTCTGGTCCCATTCGATATGGGAAAGGACAATGACTTCGTACCGTTAACCAGGACAGACACTGAGGGGCAAGAATAAAGGGACATAATCCGAGCGAGGGTCCACGAGCCCAAACCAATCTGCTCCAAGGTAAGACAGAGAAAGCGCCGGTCGAGGCAATCGAATGCCTTTTCAGCATCAAATGAGAGTAGGCAAGCCTTAAACCATGCTGTTTGATGTAAGAGATAAGATGAATCATTTTGGAAGTATTATACCGTGCTACGCGACCCTGGACAAAGCCGACCTGGCTGTGATGGCTCAAGGTTGGTAGAAAAGGGGAGAGACGATTTGCTAAAAGTTTGGCAAAAAGCTTAATGTCTAGGTTAAGTAGAGAAATCGGGCGATAGCTACTGCAATGAGAGGGGTCTTTACCCGGCTTAGGGATAACCGAAATGGTAGCGGAAAGAAAGGCTGATGGAAGGAAGGCACATTCGAATCGTCGATGATATTAAATGCTCGAGCCAGAAGCGGAGCCAATTGGGCGGCGAATGTTTTGTAAAAGCGAGGGGTGAATCCGTCTGGACCCGGGCACTTACCATTTGTCAGGGCCCTGATTGCCCCAAGAACCTCTATAACCGAGCAGGGCTCCTCTAGATCCAAAGCGTCTTGGGCATCAAGGACAGGTAACGCCGTCTCCGCAATATATTGGGACATAGCCAGTAGGGGGGAGATAGGGAAGATATCAGGATTTGCTGAGGAGAGATTATACAGTTGAGAATAATAGCGCTCAAATGCAGAACAGATTTCCTTATTGTGGTGGAGTTTAGAATTATCAGGTGCCATGATGTACTGAATCGGACAACGGAATGAACGGGGATGTAGTACACGCGCCAAGTGTTGGCCACATTTGTTAGCTAGAGAGTAATGGGTGTTGCATGCTTTGTCTCACGCAATAAGCACAGGGTCTAACGTTTGTGGGACAGTTTCAAACGTGCAATAAGTGAAAATAATCAATGCATCTCCGTCGTACAAGCCTTTTTTAGACAAGAGCCATGTTTAATGAGAACCCCTCTAAGAACACATTTGAGGGTCTCCCATTGAGTAAGAGGGCCGGTTTTATCTATTGTGTGATCCATAATAAAGTCCTGGATAGTCTTCTCTATCTCCGCGATGCAGAGAGAATCTTTGAGTAGGGTGTCATTCAGGCGCCACGAAAACTGACGTACAGGCGATGGCCTGTCATGAATCGTAAGATGGATTAGAGCATGGTCCGACCACAAAAAGTGACCGAGAGAGGATGAAGTCGGGCAATCTAGCAAAGACTGTGAGACAAAGAAATAGTCTATACGACTGTATGATGCATGAGCTGCAGAGTAATAGCTATAGTCTCGCTCCGAAGGATGTTGAATACACCAAACATCCACTAGGTGTAAGTCATGCAAGTGCGACTTAGGTTGAGATAAGGTCGAGAAGGAGAGAGAAGATCTACTCGCTGAAGTGTACAAATCTGGAGAGAGAGCTACATTGAAGTCCCCTACAACAATGAGACAGGAACTGATCATGAACACTTTAGACTGTACGCCCCTTGAGGGTTAGGGACTGATGTGAATGTACAATATATATGTAAAAGCGCTGCGTAAATTGACGGCGCTATACAGTATAAGTACCTGTAATAAATAAATAATAAACAGAACTGTACTAGTGCCTCTTTTGTATAGTGTCCCCAAAAATGCAGTGTTAACAAGATCAGCCCCTTTCAATGCCAGCACTAGCATTTAGCCCCTCCACAGTTTTTAATGGAACATTTGTATCAATTGATTGTGGGCCAAAGCAATTTATACGTACAACAATACATCGCCGCCCACCCAAGTTCAGCTTTTGCTGACCATAGAGCTGCTCGGAGACCAGAATGGCTCCAATCATCTCTATGGCCTAAGAAACCAGAAGCTACAAGCATTTCATCATTTCCATTTTGTTGGATATTAACAGCGTCATTTTAAATTGAGAAAGCATCTGATCACACTGATCTTGGTGTAATCAGATGCTTTAAGGGCAGAGGAGAGATCTCCTCTAAAAGACCCCAGATTTTCCAGAAAAGAGTATCTGTCATCACCTGTTGCTATCACAGAAGGTATTTACATTGCTTGTGATAACAATAAAAGTGATCAAACAAAAAAAATAAATAAATAAAAAAAAGTCAGTGTAAAAATGTAAACTAAAATAAAAATAATAATAAAAAAATTACCCCCCCCCCCCACTTCCCGTGCTCATGCACAAGGTGAACACTAGCATCAGTCCCGTGTCGATATGTAAATAAAGATTGCACCATGCATGTGAAGTATCACCTTGAACATCAGATAGAGGGCAGTAATTCCAGTCCCCCTGTGTAAATATTAAGTGGTGACCTGTAAAGGCTTTAAAAGTGTTGCCTATCAATATTAAAAATGTATGTATTTTGTTGCATGGGCATATGCAATTTTAATGCATGTCATGTTTGGTATCTATTTATCTGGCATAACATCATCTTTTATATTTTAGCAAAAATTGAGCAGTATATTGTGTTTTTGTGCACTAAGATTCAAAAATTTTTATTTTTTCCAATAATGTTTGAAAAATTGTTGTGCAAATACTGTGTGACACAGTATTGCAACACCCGCCATTGTATTCTCTACAGCCATTGCTTTAAAAAAAAAAAAAAAAAAAAAATATATATATATATATATATATATATATATATATATATATATATATATATAATGTTTGGGTGGTTTAACCACTTGCCGCCTTGCCACTGCATATATACTTGTGCAGGGCGGCACTGGGGCGCAAAAGCACATTTTAAAACGGGCTCCGCGCTCCCGAAGTTTTCGCCGGCAGGGGACACGCGCTCCCGCCGACCAGCGGGTGACACCATTTGATCCCGGAGGGATCAATCATTCGATTTCAGCCAGTGAAACCACCTCCCACCCGCCGTATAGTAATATGACGGGCGCAAGGTGGTTCTCTCGTTCTGGGAGAATGTCATATGACGTCCTCCCATTCTCACTGCGCATGCGCGGCTCAGGGAGCATGCAGCGTGGCGATTGGCGGTGCACTGTGTCCCTCGGACACAGCGGATCACCAATCATGGAAAGAGCCGAAGATGTCGGCTCGGTCATGTGATCAGCTGTGTCCAATCACAGCTGATCACATGTAAACAGGGAAATGCCGGTTATCGGCATTTCTCTCCTCTCGAGCAGCCACGCTGACAGCTGGAGAGGAGATGAGAGCCGGTAATTGGCTTTCCGCGGAGGGGACATGTACACTGATCATCAGGGCACTGATGATCAGTGTGCCCTGATGATCAGTGTAGCCTCAGCAGTGCCAACTGTCAGTGTCCATCAGTGCATTATGTCAGTGCTCATCAGTGCCTCGTGCTAGTGCCCATCAGTGCCACATATCAGTGCCTACCAGTGCACATCAATGCCACATATCAGTGCCCATCTGAGCTGCCTTCCAGTGTCACCCATCAGTGCCAGTCAATGCCACCTATCAATGTCAATCAGTGACACCTACCAGTGCTGCCAATCAGTGCAACCTATCCATGCCAGTCAGTGCTGCCTATCAGTGCGCATCAGTGCCGCCTATCAGTGCCTGTCAGTGCTGCCTAACAGTGCCATTCAGTGCCGCCTATCAGTGCCAGTCAGTGCTGCCTATCAGTGCGCATCAGTGCCGCCTATCAGAGCCTGTCAGTGCTGCCTAACAGTGCCAGTCAGTGCCACCTATCAGTGCCAGTCAGTGCCGCCTATTAGTGCCAGTCAGTGCCACCTATCAGTGCTGCCTATCTGTGCCATGTATCAGTGCTGCCTTTCAGTGCCCATCAGTGATGCCTGTCAATGCCCATCAGTGCCACCTACCAGTGCCTCCTCATCAGTTCCCATCAGTGCCACCTATCAGTGTCCATCAGTGCCACCTATCAGTGCCCATCAGTGCAGCCTCATTAGCGCACATCAGTGAAGGAGAAAAATCACTTATTTACAAAACAAAAACTAAGAAAAAACATTTTTTTTCAAAATTTTCATTGGTTTTTGGTTTGTTTAAGAAAAAATAAGAAACCCAGAGGTGATTAAATACCACCAAAATAAAGCTCTATCTGTCACAAAAAAATGATAAAAATATCATATGGGTACAGTGCTGCATGACCGCGCAATTGTCATTCAAATTGCGACAGCGCTGAAAGCTGAAAATTGGCCTGGGCAGGAAGGGGGTATAAGTGCCCTGTAGGCTGTAATGAATGTAGGTAGTTGAATTCGTTCAGTTCCCTTTGTTTCTGGTATAATGAATTCTTCAGCAGGAACAATTCTTCTTGTGGTCTCTACTGTGCCAGTACATGTGTGCAGGGTATAGGTTAATACATGTACATTAAATGTGTCAAAGAACTCCAAAGTGGCAAAAGAATTACTGCTTTGGCCATCCTAAACAGCTTTCCTTCATTGACCTCGAGGAAATACTTTAACCAGGCATATCTTTTTTTAACTCTTTTTTATTGGCAAAGATGCAAAACAACATGGTACATAAAACATGGGCTTCAGTGAGACTTAGTAAAATACAAACTGTGGTACACAGACATGAAGGCAAATATATAAGGGCACATAAGTGTGCAAATGTGACATTCACTGTCAAGTTTGACATCCAGCTTTTTTCCTGGGGTCAATATAAAGTAGAATCAGACATATTGTAATTGTAATCTACAAATATTCCTTACTAGCGGAAAATCTCAGATTCAAAATACAAACTGTAAAGGAAATGGTTTTCTCAAGTGTTGGTTATCATAAGGGTAGAGGAGCACCAATAATCCCACACTTTATTGTATTTCTTGGGGCAACCCCTATGTCCAAAGATAAGCTTTTCATATGGCAATATTTGATTGACCAATTTTATCCATTTACGTACAGAAGGGGGAGTAGATTGAATCCATTTGAGTGCTATGGCTTAGCTAAAAAGAGTATTTCAACCAGGCATATTTTACTACTGATTTTCTCTGGATGGCATTTGCGCTGTAGATTGCTATACTTAGATACAGTATAATTATCGGAGGTTACTACTTATGGCTCTCCCCATCATGATCTGATGGAGGTGTAAGTTCTTCAGCAGGAGTAGAGTCCTGTTTAAAAGGGCTTCAGCATAAGGCTGATATGAGCCTATCACTATTATATTCTGAGCACTTAAAAGAGAAGTATGCCCAAAGCTTTGTTTTCTGTACTTCTTTACTGGGTCACAGTAGTGCACTTACTTTTGCATTTCCATGACCCAGAATCAGCCGACATTGGCTAAAGGCCATTATCAGCTGATATTGCATAGCCGCTCCAGGCACTGGAAGGATCCCAACCATATTGTCAGGATCCACCTAGGTGCCTGATTGACGAGAGCTGAAGCCAGCTGCACCCACCCCTTCTCCAGGCCAGTGCTTCAGTGAGACAGTCACTGCTCTCCACTTTGAGTAGATTGAGAGGTGAGTGAATAGCAGTCATATGATCACTCAGTTCTCAGGCTTAGAGCCAGCGAGTGACAACTGCAGCATCAGACCACTGCTGCAGTATAGAGATGAGTATGTGTGTGTTTTTTTTACGCCAAACTTCTGCTTTAACTAGCCGTGCAGTCTCTGGCAAAATGTTTTTTGGACACCCAACATCTAAAGCAAATGCATAATTCAGTAGAATCTTCTTGCATTCTTCATATAGCTTCCCTTGAATGTACAACACTTTCTGAAAGGATGTCGTTTTTCATGAATTAAACAGTTAGAGTAGTACCCAATAATAGTGGGTGTAACTCCCTTCTTTCTAATGGAGACAACATTTCTAGCCTCTCTGTGTTTAGTACTGAGGTTTTTTCGCCTTGTAGCTGGAGGGCTAGGAATTCTCGAATCAATAATTGAAAAGCTTGGCACCAACCACAGATAGCTTAACTCTTTAAAGAGGATCTTCAATGTCTCCCCCAAAAATTAAAAGTTATCAGCTACAAATACTGTAGCTTCTGACTTTTAATATAAGGACACTTACCTATCCAGGAATCCAGCGCTGTCCTTATCCAAACTGGTTCTTCACCAGTCTTCAGATCCCTGGTGCCGGCTTGTTTAGCAATAGAAGCCACCTGTGAGTCCTAGCTGCTTCACAGCCGGCTTCTCACTGCATATGAGTGAGCCACTCTGTGCTATGTAAATGGCCCACAGCTTTCTGGGATCTGTGATCTGTCCTAGAAAGCTGCGAGTAGGGATGGGGGACAAACTGCAAACGTAGGGAGGCAAACTGGCAAAGGGTACCTGTCAAAAGCAGCTACCTGACCTCCCGCCCGCCCCACCCCCCCAAAAAAAGTGTATCCAAAAGTGTTGAGGGAGGGGCGGAAAAGCAGAACTTCTGCTTTTGGATAAAGTTCCACTTTTATAAGGCACAGAAGTTGAATCCAATGCTGTTTTACTTCAAATATCTGCAATACAGAGAACGTGCTTTCCAGTCATTTGAAGTGTAAGAATACAAGAATGATTTTCTACACCTTGTCCCTGAAATGACTAATGCTGAGAAGAGTTTAACTTGAACAACACTAGAATAATACTAACTAGTACTAGGGGAATAACATGGGGATGTACCAAATGCAGACATAAACAAGTTGAAGTTGCTCTAAACCACCACTAAATAAATCAGAAAAGTAATAACCAGAAATAGTTCAATGCAATAACAGAAAAATACATTTTCCTCTTGGCTGTGTGTGAACATGTTCACTCACAGAGATCAGTTACCTGCTGCTGGCTCTCACCTTCCTTGTGTAGAGCCCTTGGAATGGCTAGATTTAGTATATAGCTCACTGAGCTGCAATTCCTTTTTTCAGATCAGGGTTTCCCTAAACATGGTTGTTTTGGAGGAATATTCCAGAAATAGTGTGGGAGGATCATTCACTGGATTATGAATATGACCTTAGCCAATCCCTGGGAGGCTGACTCAGAAGGTGTGGCTGGGAAGATAAATGATTGGGAGGCTTTGATCACAGCTCTCTTCTACTGAGAAATAGCATGTGTGTATGTGTTCCTGAGATGTGGAAAAAAGAAAGGAGAGGGGCCGCATCATCTAAATGTCCCCTGTATTAATATTTGGAATAAGATAGTGTAAATGCACTCACTTTTATGAGTCATTATCAGCATGTGAATGTAGCCCTCTGAGAGATGCAGAGATCGGCAGGCAAGAGGCTGGTGTAATACAGAGGTCGGCAGGCAAGTGGCTGGAACAGGAAGATCTCGGCTTAGAAGTGGCTGGATGGTAGATAGCGAGGATCACTGTTGTGCCTGGAGCTGGAGTGCAAGCTTTCACACAGTGCTTCAGGCTTCCTGGGTCCTTGACTAGCCTGGCTGCACTTAGAGGTGGAGGGGATGAAGTCAGCACATCAAAGGGGGCATTGCTACAAATGTTGGGGCCCACCCAGGGGCGGACTGACCATTTGGAAACTCGGGCACTGCCCGAGGGCCCGGGGTCAGTAGGGGGCCCCATGAGATGCCCCTAGTACCTTTTTCATAGGCTTTTTTGAGTTTGGACAAGGACACAGGGGCCCCATGATCCCCTATTGCCCGGGGGCCCCATGAGTTGTCAGTCCGCCCCTGGGCCCACCCCTTTGTCAAACCAATCAGGAGCCATTTTGCACTTAAGTAGACCTGCTGGAGGAAATGTGCCTGTGGAAGCTGGGCTGAAGAGGTGGGTGTCTTTCACCTAAAGCTCCAGGTACAGAACTGCTCATTGAGGATGAGATGCCAGATGTAACTGCTCAGATAGAGTCTCAGATATACTTCCTGTCCCCTCTGTCCTCAACATTTTTTTGAGACTGATTCTGCTGGGAGAAGATTGTTTGGATTTTTTGTGTGAGCCCTTAATATCCTGCACCCTCAGCCATCCTCTCTGCGTTTTTCTCAGGATTTGCAATAAAAGGTAACAAAAAACCCTAGACTAAGACAGAGTTTGTTAGTGTGCTTCTGGGACTGAAAACTGGATGGATAGCCTCTGAACAGGTGAGGGAGACCCAATTTTTTTTCCTTCTGGGGGTTAATGCTACACTTGTGACCTTATGAGCCATTACATAATTATAAGGTACTCGTGGCAGTCCAAGAGACTGTGGAAATGTTTTTTCAAGCAGCTTTTTGAATACCTTTTTCTCCTAGATTGTGTTTCTGAGCCTAAACATGGTCATTTAACTGTACAAGGAGGACTATATTTTAATTAAAAACAGAACAGATTGTAATATACTTTTGCTGTGTATTATGATAAGTTGAGACATTAACTGAGGATGTTTCAAATTTCTGATCAATCCACAAACAATCCACTGTACATGATGTCCAAGAAGAACACTCCACCATTCTTCTTTCCCTACTGGAAAGCAGGATGTACTAGAATACAAATTCTAGTGTGCCTTTAATTGATCAAGAGCTTCTGGAATGATGTGTACACATAAACCAACTTGCCATTTTCAACATGCTCAGAGGCTTCAGAGTTGAAGGTGTGCAATTTATCACAGCCTGACACAACCATGATTATTGCAACTATCAGTGTTTGCCAAATGACTCGGTAAGGTATTCTCACACACTAGAATCATTATACAGTGAGAAGCTAGAAGGCAACATCCAAATAGCAAAAGATGGGAGT